CTGACTGGAAAGCAGCAGGGGCTTAGCATAGCTTATAATCAAGGCAGAACTAGATCAAGACTGAACACTTAAAAAAGCTCCGTCATTAATTTGTAGAATATGGTAGATATTTTAAATGTCCAAACTTATTTTAGAAAGGACCAAGGAGACCTTGATCAGGAATTCTTTAAGATTCGCAATCTAAAACATAAAGTAAGGTTTATGGATTAGCTGAATGCTATAGGAATCAGCACTGAGATATCATCTAACAGCTTTGCGTGCTGTGCCTTTCTTTCAGTAGTTCTGTCCATCTTTAGTCTTCCTGATCTTGCAGTATTTCAGAATAAGTTCTACCTCCACTTTTGTTGATCCTTACGTGCTAGCAGAACATAAACCTGATGATTAATTCAGTCACCAGTGCACCAAGATTAAAAGCACAATTTTCACACATCTCACAGTTCTTGTACCAGGGGATAGGCAGTTTCTGGCATGGCACTGATTTACACTTGGAACTTGCTGGGGCAGTTCTATTCATTGGACTCCACTGTGAAACTTACCACGCTCCCTTAAAACTAGTGATCAAATGTATTCAGAAATATCTCCTCATACTTCAAAGAACGGGTATGGGAAGGTGAGTCTATTCCAGTAAATGGTCTTATTGAAATCAGCGTGGCTGAGTGAAAGCTGCCTGTTAGGAAACCCTTGCAACACTCCTAACTGCCCAGCTGTGCCTATGAATAATTGCAGGGGAGGGAAGTTCAAAATGGAATGAGCTAAAAGCATGTGCAGGACCACTTCAGCAGTATCCTGTGCTTCTGTGCCCATAGACACCTCTGGACACTGTTTGATTTACTAATACAGGAAATGACCTATGACCTCTGAAAGATTACTTTCACTGGTGAAGTCTGAAAAGCAAATGTTGAAACCCACGCACAATTTGAGGGTGGGAGGATAGATATTCATAATAAGAACATAGAAGAAATTTTTCTTTGTTTCCTCCAAAATTCTGGATTCTTCCTACTCCACTTTCTCACAGAGTGTATACCCCTAATTAACCTCTTTGCAAAGGTGCTCTTTAAGAAAGAGCACTTATGCATCTGTATTAGAAAAACACCATCAGATATGCTCATTAGTTTTCTTCAAGCTTGTCTCACAAAGTATGTACATATACATATACACATTGGTATGCATCTATGTACACTGAAATACACAAACACTTGCAGTGGCCTTGATGGCTGCTTTTAAAACAAGCACTTGTTCAGATGTCTGTTTCCATTACGTTTTTAAATACAGACACATTCCAATTTCGTTACAAACTATTTGAATAGCTCCTACAAGTACAAATACCTTGTTTCCTTTGGCTTGCATTTGTCACCCATGTAAATTATCCGAAACTTTTGAAAGCACGTATTGAAGTTCTGCATCATTTCATACATGATAGAGTAATCATTTAATACAAAACAGAAAACACTCAAATATTGTAATGATGAGCACTGGTAATACAAGATGCATGTGAATTAGCCATGGTATTTATCAACACATTTACTCTGTGTTTCTTCTGTAAGACACAACAGTGAAAAACTGTAGTAAATGCAGTTTGTAATTAACTTAGCAGAATTTACACTAATATGGCAGAACTATCACAGTTGGGTCCTCAGACTATAATAATCTCATTCTCTGTTATGTGGAAAAAAAGAAACAGTTACAATGATTCTGCTTATTACTTCTAAAAACACATTCAAAACAGGGGAATATATATATATGTATATATACATAAAATTTATTTTGCCTAACTGAGATTCTGCTACAGTGCCTATTTGAATGACAAATAATGCTGGATTTAATGAGACAAAACGTACGAATATGAATTGCCTCTTCAATGTGTATGAAGTGACATCATGATGTTTAATTGCTATATGAGAAAATGACTACTAACCAAAGTAATAAAACAATGAAATATCAGCTCCCTGAGGAAAGACAAACTGCGGGGTGAGTACAGCTGATTGAACAGTATCATAATGCGAACTCTTCTACAGCAGTCTCTCATTTTGGTAGCTCATAAACAGAGAGAACTTACTCTACAAATGCAGTTTTTTCAAGAACTAAAAATCTCATTCTGCAAAGAACAACCACTGAAATCAAATGTGCTCCAAAGACAGTTTTCCATTTGTTTCTGTAGCAGATTACTCAGGTATTACTGTTTTTATACTTTTAAGCATGTATGCATAGCTTCCTTTCACAAGTAATAAAAGCAGACATTCATGTGTTCATGCTTCTAGATATAAATATCCTGTACCAGTTCCCTTACCCAACTGGGCCAGACTAACATCTCATTCTTTTAAAATTTTCCTATTTTCACAACTGCAGTATTAATAAATACAGTTAAAATAGATATGATGAATTAAATCAGTTGAAAATATTGTGCAAATATTAGGAATCATTTACACAGATATACACACAAGCATTCTCATAGACTTTCAATACTTACAAATATCTAAAGTACAGAAGCCACATCTATATATGTATACATAGACATTCCTGTATACATATATTCATGTACACATACACCTCTACACATATGTATCTGTTCTTGTATATATCCCCATAGATAGCAGGCATCTCACTCACTCAGTTCACAGTCAAATCAGATTACACCACTATAAATAACTGAAGAAAAAAAAAAAGTCATATAATTTACAAGCAATATCTATTCTTTTTAATATAAAAAGCAACACGTTCAGAATTTTACTTCTAAACCATTAATACTCATGTAATTTTATTCAATCCTGTACAAACCCCAACTCAGCATCTGCTCTTACACTTTTTCAGCAGTCCAAACATAAGATTTAATTTTTCACTCTTCAAAAATATGAAGTGCAAGGAAAACATCTGCTGTCTTTTTCTCTGGGATTCCTCAAAGCAAATTCTATGCCTACTCCATGCTTCTTCATTTTTTTTTTTCACCTGTCTCTAAGGGAATAAAATATTTGCAAAGGACAGACCCTACAGATTCACTGGAGCTTTACCCCACCCAGAGAAGAATGCAACTCGTTTTCTTCCTCCTTACCACTGTTAATACGAAGCCTCTCTTCCAGAAGTTTCTAATATTTTACAGCAGGAAAATGAAATTTCTCCTCCACTGAACATCTCAAAGCATACTGCATAACTTTACTTATTATGCTTTTGCAATGGAACTGAAGGCTTAAAGATATTTAAGTATTCAACAACTTTTGCTTAACACATAATAAAAGTAGGAAGTAGTGAAAAAAATGTTGGCAGTGTGTGCCAGTCACAATCAGTATGATTCTTTGAAGATAGATAGGAATGTTTGCTTTTATGTTTCTTCTTAACATTTTATTTTTCAGTAACTGAAGGACGGGATGAAAAGGTTACCAATAAATCCAGCAACTTCAATCGTTTTATTCTATTGAGGATCAGATAACCTAATTAAGCATTTTTCACTCAAAATGAAAATGACTTGGTCATGACTGGCTGGGTTTTAAGCAAGTGTTATCTGCTGGGACGCCAGATTCCTGGAATAAAGCTGGAATGAATAATCAAACAGAGTATTCCCAAAATTTTAGGAAAAAAAAAACACCATGAAAATGTACAATAACTAAAACCAATACATGAAGAGTGAATGTCAACAGAGCAAACTTTAAAAATTTAAGTTAGTGAAGTTTTTCTCACTGCCATAACTTGCTTGTAAAGCATTAAGGAAGCACAGTTCACCTGTAATTACTGTTATGTGAGGACAAATTGGTTGGGAAGTCCTATGTAAACATGAGTTATCACTAGTTAAGTGTCAGAATAAAACATCATACTCGGAAACACAAATATTCATACAATAGTAATAATATTTGTAAGAAAAGAAATGCTATTTTATCTGTTACTGGAGCATGAATTCAAATTTTAAAACTCAGTTGAGCTCTGGTTGTGGCAGGCAAAAAAAATATTACAGGTTCAAAAGAAAACAGTGCGAATGACACAAGGAAATACTGAGTAAGGTGGGATTTTTTAGCTTTAAGGGAAAATGGGGGAATAAGTCATGTCAAAGGCTTTCCAACAACAAAGAGGTTGCAGTTCATGCTTCATGTCCAGGCTTTTGCTGGAAAATGAGGCCATTGTTCAAAATGTAACCATTTTGTCAGGTTTTATTTTTATTTTTATTTTTATTTTTATTTTTCTATCAAGTTAATAGAATCGCCTTATTTTCACACAACATTTCAGTTTCTCTTAATCTATGTTTTTTTCCCTGAGAAAAGCCATTCTAGCTGAGAAGCCAACCACAAAAGGTAAAACTTATAAACAAGAACATAATGGCCATGTAACTCACATATTTGAATAAGTGGTCAGCAGTTCAGTACACTGAGGAACTAGAACTGGAACATTTTATTCAGCTACTTGGGGCTCACTCACTTATTTTACTCCCAGAAAATGAGAAGATTTGATAGAAATGTAGGAAAATCTTTCTCATGTATATCCTGCTGTACACAACCAAAGCTGTCTGCCACGAAAGGTAATCTATTTTTAAACAAGCATGTAAAATAAGGCAAACAGTTACATCAATTAATATCTAATATTATATATACACACACTATTTATAGGACAGAGACACATGGGGAAAAGGAGTTTAAGGGGAACCAAACAACACTATGACAATGATTTGTGGTTTGAAGCAGCATTATCGGTCTCTTGACAAAAGCTAGCAAAAAGCAAGAAGGTTGAACAAAAAGAACCTTTGTGGAAAAAGAATGCTTCCTTTAAAGTTACATTTTGCTTTTCTACTGGCTGTATATGGAAAGTTAGCAAAGGAAACAGGTCTATGAATAATCATAGACTTTATTATCTTTGTATTTGCTGCTCCAGAAGCTACAATTGCAAAAGCTTTGAAACTTCTTATAAATTACGGCTCCAAAAAAATTTACACTGAGATTAAGTGCCCTGTAACAAAATATTGGTTACAAAATATGACCGTCTCAATGCTGATGCAATGTAGCATTATGACCACAGTGACTCACCTTGTTCCTCATTGATAAGGCCCATATATGCATGTGCTTGCGCTTGTCTTTTCCCACCATCAGTTTTTATTAGTTGAGCAGTGTTAAAGCATTGTTCATAAAAGTAATTCCTTAACTGTTTCTCCTCAGAGTTGTCGAAGCAGTAGGCCACGTTAAGCTGGTTATCATAAACTTCCTCAGAGTTCCCTTTAAAAACAAATAATAGTGAAAATGCTAATTTTCATCAGCTTTCACAAATCTTACAGCAATAGCCATATAATGAAAATGAAGGGCTATTAATTTACCCAGAAGCCAAACACTATCAAGTTCTCCTACATATTCAAGGAAATGTAAGGAGAAAATGATAACCTACAAAATCAGGCATAAATGAAAACTTGATCTATATAAACTACAACAATTTGCTATTATTTTTGTGTACAAAACCAGAACTTCAATCAATAAAACACAAAGAGCCTCTATAAGACATCAACAGGTTGAAAGACAGAAGCAGAGCGAGCAAAAAACCTTACACATTCAGTCTCTACTGGAGAAGTATTTGAACCAGTGAGACCTCAAAGACACTGGGAGCTTTCAAAACAGATCTAAGGTAGCAACTTATGATGGAGACAAAGACCCAAAGAGAACACCCTGCAAGCACCACCCATTAATTTTACATCATTGAAAACATTTAAAGTAACGCTAATAAGAAATGCCTTCAGTTTTCCATCTACATTATTGTTTTTTAATACCTTAACACTCTTACATATTAAGGATCAACTGAAATTTTAACTTTCGGCATAAAAAGCCCACCAAGGTACTGAGCTCAGAACAAACCTGGGAAGCAGGGGGGCTTAAAGTCTTAGATCTCTTTTAGGATCTGAAGAAAAAACATATTCAGTTGGCACTTTGTACGTCTCATCAGCTAGCTAAATGAATACACACCATCGCTAATATTTATAGAAACACTGCAAATCCCAATTCTAAGTAGCATTACGAAATGCATTATTCACAATTCAAAATTACTGAATGAGATTGTCTATATAAATTGCCTCTGTCACAAGAGCACATTAAAAAAAGAACATGCACAAAAACACAGGAGGTTATTCAAAAACCCTATTAATTTGGATTAGAGATCTAAAACTCACCTAACTACTTGTCATATTGCTTCTCTCTAGGGTTGTTTGAAAAATATATTCCCTACACGATGATAAAGAACCTATGAGATAAAAAAGTGCACCAAGAATCTATAGATTTCGGAGCTAAATTTACCACTGGCAAAACTAAATTAGTTTTATTTCCAAACTCTGCTTATGTTAGTTGAGAATACAAATAATTACGATTTCCTACTTTGTATGTGGCTGTGAAATGAGAATAAGCCAAATAGCATGCTCTTAAAACAATTTTCATATAGTTGGGTAAAGAAGGAGTTAATAACTGAAGTGCTGCAGCAGGTAAAAGAATGTTTGGATAAGCCAGATGTGTGAACAGAGCAGCTCTGCTTTCAGCAGTTCTGCAATTTCTAAGCTTTGCTCAACAAAAGAGAAAAAAGAGAAAGGAAAGGAAAAAAGCTCTCTTACACATGATATGGAACAGCATAGAAATCAACACAGAAAAAGGCACCTAATTTCAACACAGCTCTCACTCGAAGCTCAGATCTTTTCTAAGTATTTTATAACTGTGATACTGTATCAAAACACTTCGATAAAAGGATGCCACTAAATTTCCTTACTTTCTTCCTTTCTTCCCTTCTTTCTTTCTTTCTTTCTTTTTTAATCTCTGAGAAGATTTGGGGAAAATCCAACTTCCAAACAGGACTAATTTCTGACTGTAAATTATGTCATTTATGAGTCACTAGCATTGTTTAGAATAAAAAGCAGCAATTACTCAAAAAAGTACTTTGCTTGCATCTCTAAACCACACATCTCCGCTCCAGTGTGTTCTATCTCAAAATTTTGAATTATACATATTCTTAGGGAAAGTAATATAAATTCCTCATTAGTCTGCCCAATACAACCAATTCAGATATAGCCACTGTTTATCTAGGCAGTATCAAGCAGATATGCTTGGCTATGATTTATTTCAGCCCAACTTAAACATCTGTTGCAGCATAAAAGAACGCTTTTGAAGATTATCTCAAATGTAGAAAGCAGAGGTTCCCACCACGATTACAAGCAATGAATCAAATAACCACTCAAAAACAGAAATATGAAAACTAAATTTGTTCAATAACTGAATCTAAGGTAATAATACACATTAGGTGTTGTTTACAGCTGAGCGAACATGAACTTAGAAGTTAGCAGGTATACGCAAATAGTTGCAACAGGGCAGTAAGAGGAAAGAGAATGGGATTGTCATTGGGAAAGAAGCTAACCACGGATTTGTTGCCTTTGAAATATTTGCTACAAAGTATCAAGGCACTAATGCTACAGGACATTATGCAGATCACTTCTGGTAGTGCCCTACAAATCTCAAGAGATGGTACCAACCTGAGGCGGGCTATTGCTACAGCCACGGCTTGATTGAATGAACTGTAAGGTGAGCCTCCGATGACTATCCTGCTGGTGAATAACAATGAGAGGTGCACAGAGACAACCATTTCTCCCTAATAGTCCTGGACAGTGGCTGACCAGGTACGCTGGAGTCACAATAAAACAAACCCCAAAGACAGATGTTTAAAAGTCATATTCTCTTTGGGATTCAAAGTCTCTCTGACTTACAAATCAAGAAATCCATTGATATTATTCTGACAGAGGTATAGCCAGCATGTCAGACTTAGTGAAAGTGAACTTTCATCTCCTCCGGAGAAGAAAAATATTAGAATAGATAAACACAATCTTCTATAAAGTCTCCCATAGGTACTTCTGTCAATAAAGTTTTGACCTCTCTGATTTTTTACAGTAAATTCTCTGCATCTGTTAATAGAATACATGTGGAGAAATCTTTAAGTATCTTCCAATGATATATTAAAAAATTATATACACATATATATATATAAAATACCACCTATCACAGAGAGAATGACACCACTGGAATACAATACCAAATGAATAGAAAGAAAAGTCTGAGACGCACACAACTGTGAAGCAGCTCCTACAAGAGAAATTCTTGTTTTAAAATGAGAAAAATAAAAGAAAGCATAGAGATAGAAGTTCAAATTCTGTTCCTAGTATTATTTCAAAAAGTCCTTTTACTCCAAAACCAATGGAAGCTGAATTCAGATTTCCCAGAATATTTAGGATACAGGATTAAAATAATGCTGCAAAGATGAGCATAATGGCTACCCAAAATGGCAGCTAAGCAGAACAAACAGAACTCGATGGAGCAGATGACAGTGAAGCCTGATGCTCTGTGGTTGAAATGGGACAGGGAACACATCTTATGTGCAATTATCCAATATAACGTGCGCTTTTTTTCAATGTCAAATTACCAAATTTAAGGCAGTAATATTTCATATGAATTCTGTTCACTTAAGCATTTGTTTGTGCTTTTTTTTCTTAGTTTTTAATAAACAACAATTGCTATATTATAGTACTTATTTTGCACTTTCAAAAATGTTTTTACAACAAAACATAAAATACAGAAAAATGGCTTATTTTGTTTTATTTGATTTGGACTTTTCAAAATATTTTACTTTCATCATCCTGTACAGTGGAAAAATGGTATGTACTTAAGGAAAGTATTTCTATCAAGTTTTACTGAGGTCTTTCTGCTAAACAGATTTAAGAAAATCCCTTCCACTTGAGTTTAAGCATAACACCCCATATGTTACGCACATATAGGGTTTCCTGCTCTGCATCAGAATCTCTTCATGTGCATCTCAACAGTCACATAGACTCTCTCCATGTTATGCTAAAGCCATAGGCCTTGGATCAGTCCACTGAGTAAAACATTGGTTTGTACTTGGACTGTCATCAGGAACATCTGGCAAGCAAAGGCATGCATGGAGCAGAGGGTAATTCAGGTTTGCGGCCTGCACACTGGTGTTCAGCTATTCATCAACCGAATAGTGCAAAGCTCAGGGACAGAGAGGCGGAGGCTGGGTATGCCAATCCCAACTGATTTAGGAGTTAAGTACTACCGCTGCCACGGCTGTATCATCTGCTTTTTGACGGAATGTAGTAAAAGAAAGGAAAAGAAGTACCAGAGCAAGTATTAGAGAGGAGATGAAAACAACATCCTGAAGAGATCCTGGCTTGGTATTTTCCGTGAAGAAAAAACACTGTTCTTGTTAACAGAAAACAAAACTTGCACTTCAGAACCTCACCTTTAAAATACAGGTATCAGAAAGAAATTTTTCAACATCTATCTCTGTCCAAATATTTTCTACTGAAGGGATTACCAGTCAGTCCTTTGTTCCTGCCAGGCAAAGGCCATGCGGAAACTTTTCAACAGCTGGTAACACTCATCTTCCAGTTCAGTTACTTGTTTTTAGTGAGTATGGCTGAATTATAGCTGACCACTCATCCTTGAAGACATATCAAGGAGTGCCTTAAGATCACTGGAGTCACTAGGAGTCATTTTTTATGTCAGAATGAGATACCATTAGTACCGGAAGTTTCATTTTTCTCTTGCCTGAGAGATCAATACCGGGGACTCAGTAGCAAGAAGACAGCTGATGTCATGAAGAGTTCACATTCAGAAACATACAGGATGAAGGCTGTTGAGCCAATAAGGAGCATCAACAGGAAAAGAATGATGCTGCAGTCAGTTTATTTCTACCTCAATTCATACACAGCAAAGCATCAGTCCCATCTGCTTGCTAAGGACAACCACTTGCAGCTAGGAACCTTTTCCCAAAAAGCTTAGCCATAAGCTGCACTCACTGAGCTGATATACACAAATGCAAATGAAGAAAGTGCACTATGGAGTAGCACGGACACAATCAAATTATTAGGTAGCAGGGCAAACAGGGTGAACACCTTCCCTCCATCACTAAGTACACAAACAGAATATATTCAAAGTACAATCTATGCAAAGGTGCTAAGAAATTACCTGGATATACATTTGCCATATATGGATAAAATTCTCTAGTAACAGTAACACAAGGCAATTCAACTGGTCACTTGTGACACCAATGGAGGACTCCAAGCCAACAAAATAAGAACATACTACTTCAGTTAGAGGCAATGAGGCACAATTTAAAACACAGAAATGCAACTTCCGTTGAAGCCAGCTGCCTACATTTTGATAAGTCTTGCCATCATTCC